TAGAATTGTATTGATCGGAAACCTAAATACATGTGCGAATACATAAACAAACACCGTGTCCCTAGTGAGCCTCTACTTGAATAGCTCGTTGATCAAAGATGGTTAAGGTTTCCTAACCATGGACATGAGTTGTCATTTGATAATGGGATCACATCATTAGGATAATGATGTGATGAACAAGACCCATCCGTTAGCTTAGCATAATGATCGTTCAGTTTTATTGATATTGCTTTCTTCATGTCAAATACATATTCCTTTGACTATGAGATTATGCAACTCCCGGATACCGGAGGAATGCCTTGTGTGCTATCAAACGTCACAACGTAACTGGGTGATCATAAATATGCTCTACAGGTATCTCCGAAGGTGTTTGTTGAGTTGGCATAGTTCGAGATTAGGATTTACTACTCCGAGTATCAGAGAGGTATCTCTGGGCCCTCTCGGTAATACACATCATAAGCTTGCAAGCAAATGACTAAGGAGTTAGTCACGAGGTGATGTATTACGGAACGAGTAAAGAGACTTGCTGGTAACGAGATTGAACTATGTATAGAGATACCGACGATCGAATCTCGGGCAAGTAACATACCAATGGACAAAGGGAATTACGTATGTTGTCACAACGGTTCGACCAATAAAGATCTTTGTAGAATATGTAGGAGCCAATATGGGCATCCAGGTTCCGCTATTGGTTATTGACCGGAGAGGTGTCTCGGTCATGTGTACATAGTTCTCGAACCCGTAGGGCCCGCACGCTTAACGTTCAATGATGATATAATATTATTTGAGTTATGTGATTTGGTGACTGAATATTGCTCAGAGTCCCGGATGAGATCACAGACATGACGAGGAGTATCGAAATGGTTGAGAGACAAATATTGATATATAGGACAGGGGTATTCAGACACTGGAAGTGTTTTGGGGGGTACCGGGTACTTATCGGGTCACCAGAAGGGGTTCCGGGCACCCCTGACAAAAGATATGTGCCTTATGGGCCAAGAGGGGAAACACACCAGCCATAAGGGGCTAGTGCGGCCCCCATATGGGCCGGCCTAAGGAGGGGAAGGAAAGGGGAGAAGGGAAAGGAAAGTGTGGATTAGGATTCCCACTTCCCTCCCTCGCCCCCCTCTTTCCTTCTCCCTCGGTTAAATATGGCAGGGGGCGCCACTTGGGAGGACCCCAAGTAGGATTTGGCCTACTTGGGACGCCTCCTAGTAGCCTCCCCTCTCCCTCACACACACACACACACACACACACACACACACACACACA